AGAGAGAGAGAGAGAGAGAGAGAGAGAGAGAGAGAGAGAGAGAGAGAGAGAGAGAGAGAGACTTTAACTTTGTTTTTCAGAAAGAACATATTTCTGTTTAACTGTGACATTCGAGGCTGCCATGAATCCATAAAGGTGTCAAGGATTGAAACTTTAAACAGGTCTTATCTCTCACTCGTGAGGAACAGGTATGAGACTGTTAGAGAAAGAAACAAAAGGTTCTGCAAAGTTGAAGTGAAAGAGACTGTCCACTGCTGTAAACATCGAGACACAAAGCTCCACAATTAATATACTTGTTCTCTGATTTGCAAAAACTGCTGTATTTGAGGGGTTTTATATATGAAGACAATGTACACTAACATATGTTATGCTGCTCTTCTCAAGATGAAAATATAGAGATTTTGATTTAATATTTTTAAATCTCTAAATATTTTCTCAAGGTTTTTTTTTTTAAAAAAGAAAGAACCCAACCTCCATTTTTTTTCTAAAGTAAGTTAAAACTTCTTTTTCATGTGGGGCTGAGTGTGAATGACCACACTTACAGTTCTCGAACCTAGAAGTCTAGAGAAGGAAATGGCAGTGAATGCAAGGCCAGCCTAGAATACAAAGTGAATTCCAGACAAGCCTGGGGTACAGCATGGGACCCTGCCTTTAAAAATAAGACTATTTATCTGTACATCATCCCAGCATTACCTCTTTAAGAACAAGAAAATTAAGACTGTGTATGTTCAAACACTGTGTGGAGGTCCGTGTCTATAATCCTAGTCCACAGGAGGCTGAGGCAAGAGGACTGTGAGTTTTGAGGGCAACCTGAGTTTGTATTGAGACTCCATCTGAAAAAGAAAGAAAGAAATTTTAAATATTTAAAAGCTGAGAACTGACGATGCAGATAAAGTGAAGCAGAGACAGATGATATTCAACATAGCAAGGTGACTATGGTTAACACGTCACTATATGTCACAGTGAGTAGAGAGGACTCTCCTGGTTGCAGCACAAAGACACAAGCATTTGAAGTATTGCCCTGGACAGTTGATCCAACTGGACCATAATGCTTATATACATAAAGTGCACAAAGAAGTCTTACAACAAATATGAACAACTAGGCATTAAGAATTTAAAAATTAAGAGACATTGAGAAAGTAGCTTGTTGAGCATATGGGGGAAACACAATCCTGAGATATGTACCCAAGTCTGCATTCTCACCTGTGGTAATGTAACCTAAATTAACTTCCATAGAGTACAGTCTTTTTGAGGCTAGAAGAGTGAAGCTCCCTCTTTTTGATCTAATGGGGACTTCTGGTTCATTGCCAGGCCACTCCATCTCCACACCCTCACCGGGCTGCTAGGCTGCAGGGAGTTCTGAACATACATACAGCCTTTGTTTGGGGATTTTCTTCTCAGATTTTGAGGGTAATTCTTAATGAGTTGTCTCTGAAGCCCCAAAAATGGTCCAGAACAAAGAAACAAAAGCAGAGAGGGTAATTAATTTTTTTAAAAAAAAAATCTGTAGAAATCTTGAACTGCATTCCAAACTGTATCACACCCTGCCCCCACACTCATAGAAGTTAGACCAAGCTATCTATGGGTCTGCTGAGGTGGCGCCCAGTCATCTTTCAGAGTGACCTTTTCTCTGATTCCCAGCTTGCACATTCACAGCATTGCTTCCTGGGTACAGCTGGGGAATTGCTTGCTTCACACTCTGTAAACCAGCACCTCCCCAGGGTCATGACTTCCCAAAAGCCTTCCCCGATCATTTAGCAGTTTCCGGGGTCTCTTCATTGCAGCTATGCTCTGGGGAGATGGATCACCAGGGAAGTGTCAGCCTAAAGCATCTCTGAACTTTAAGTTTGGGAAAGATTTTTGGGAGCAACATGCTTAGAAAACCCCACCATTAAAGACATCTTAGCACATCCACTCAACCAATTAAAGTGATTATCCAGGATCTTCCTATGCAGGTTTTTTTTTTTCTTCATGATAAGGAGTTCAGCTTTTAGGCTCTTAAGTGGCATTATTCATTAGTGTAAAATAAGCATAGTAACATAAGTTGACTTGTTATGATGAAATTAGAAATAATATAATTGCTTTACTTTGGCGCTTATTTAATGATATTTGATATTTATATTTTTAATTACAACTTTCCTAGAAACATATTAAATCTCTGTAACACTAAATGCCATGAGGCAATATAACATCATTCACCAGAATTCGTCAAAAGCATTCTAACAAACAAAATCCATAGCCAAATGGAAGGTTGATATCATGTAACTGTTGGGAGGAAATGTGGTTTGCTATCTCATCACAAGAAATTAAGATCACGTGATTTTTAAATGTGTCTGAAGTCCAATTGAAATCCAAGAAGTTACTTGAAAAAAAGTAATCAATAATAGTATTTTCAAAGAGAAAGACCCAAAGGTAAATGTTTGTTTAAACCCCACTTCCAAATCAAATGAAAGTATTGAACTGCTTTAAGTCGCCTGAGGTTAATTTTTAGGTAACAGAGAATATCTACTTACTTTCCTGCTTAGTGCAGATTTCATGAATATGCATTAGGCTAGTATAACATTTAGACCCATGTGCCTCCGTAGCAAGCTAGCAACTCCCCCTCATAAAGCTAGAGTACTCTCTAAATGTTGTATTAAAATGTTCAATGTTGCTATGCCATTAAACTAGTAAACAAAATCCTGTGGGTAAGAGAGAGAGAGGATTTCCTGGGGACATGGTTTATCCTCATATTAACTGTGCCATTAGAAAAGCAATTTACTACATAGTCGTATATTAATGGCTTTAAATTTTCTTTAACATTTAAGCCAGTATTAGGCAAGAGAGCATGTTCCCATGTCTAAGCAGAAATCCATATCATTGTGTGGCCTCCAGTGGTGACACTAATCCCCCCAGTGAAGCCTTCTGGTTCCTTCTCCTATCCCTTCAGAGTACAAACAGTGCTCAGTAGTATGAAAGGGACCTCTAGACAGAGATCAGATCTCAAAATGTCTCCCCTTCTCTTTGCCATTAATTTGCTGGGCAACTTTAGGCCAGATGCTCACTGCATATAGGGGACCCATCAAATGTGAGTACTGGGATGAAGCAGGAACTAGGGGTCAACTCTGATCTCTTGTAGCTTGCAACCATTATGATTCTGGAAACAACTTTTCTAGTATTCTAAAACCAGTGCAATTTTGAGATAACGGGCCTCACTTTTGCTTGAGATTACTAAGGATGATACTGGAAATTGTTTCAAACCAAACATCTGATACATGACTGGGACAAGATTTGGGGCAAGAGGAATTGTCACTGCCCTCCAGGCTTTAACAGACGCGCACAATATCACTCTCAGTTTTGTGGTTATTTACACAATTCTAATAAGGATGTACACACAGAAGTGTTTTCTGTGCTCACGTCTCTGTAGCATGATGTTTGGCAGAATGTTACAGCTCACCAAGACTGTATTTCACACTCAGTGGCAACTTTGCATTGCTTTTACCTCTTCATATGCTTTTTGCATCTGAATCTCTTAATATTAAATCACTTCATGGATTTTTAGTGCATGCCTTTCCCATCTATTAAATCCAGATATTGTCCAATCACATGCATAAACAACTACAAGACGGTATCCTAAAATTTTCTGCATTTTTTTAATTGTCTAATTGTCTGTTCCATGGATCCTTGCTTCTAAAACATTTCACCAGTTAGGATCTCTTCAGACTTTGCCCATATCTGCCCACCCATGCACACAAACCACACAGTGAGCTATGAATTAGCAGAAGGTGAATATGACCCAGGAGAGCCAGGACTCCAGGAATAATGTCCATGCAAATGCTTCTCTCCGAGCCAAGACAAACTTGAAAAGTACCATTTAAAAAGCCCATAATGGGCCAGTGAGGAGTGAACAAGAAGTTTCGTAAATGGTTATGAGCAAATGCAAATAAGGTATTTCATTATATGCGATAGCGATAGTTTACACCATGGGAGAACGGAAAGCGACTTGCCTTGTTTTCTTAGCTCCAGCTGAAGACCAACAGGGTTTTGTTTTGAGTGTAGCCCTTAAAGCTATTATGGTTAGTTATGCAACTGCCACAGCACTGACAACAGATAGATCCAGGCTGGGTTCTGTGATCCTGAAAGCTGTTCCCAGAGATCCCTACTGGTCATGTAGCCGTAGGACCAAGGACTGAACAAGGTCACCCCTCCTCCCACTTACGACCCATTGACTGTAGTACACTACTGCAAGAGTCTGTATTTTTACATGGTAAAGTTTTCCCCGGAAGAAGTTGAGCTGACCAGAATTTTTATTTAATTTTTTGCCTTCTTACTGACATATGTACATAATCAATCATTCCAGTTACCTGTAAGAAGT